ATATATATATATATATATATATATATATATATATATATATATATATATATGTATGTATGTGTATATATATATATACATATAGTTATATATATATATATATATAACATTTGCTTAGATGGGTACTAGCACACACGCGTGCACATCCTTCTGGCTTTCTGTCGATACACCTTATTTGTTATTTGTTATTTGTTATTTGCACCTTTTCAGGCCGTTGTGTGAAATAAACTTTGTTAATTTATCGCACAAACATGCATTCTTATTCATCATTAGACAAGCACACATGCCTCTGCTATTCTCAATTGACAACACACACACGTATAACGTATATTTTACATCAGGACTTGGAAAAAAATCCGGACCTTGAGGTGCCCGCTGCCGTCGTGATCCCAGAATTGCCGATGTATGATGCGTATACCGTGGAACTAATCAAGACTACATACCGATGCGACTTACAATCCATGTACGATGTGATGTTCTCATCGCACTGCCCAGGGTTGTTGGCTTTCTACCAGAAGTGCGAGTACTTCGACATCCAGCTGGGTGCTTGGACTGTGTGTATGTGGCTTGGCTTGGCTTTTAGGGTTTAGGGTTTATAAGCTGATCCTTACTTCCCGTTTGAATAAGTGCCACACCCCACCTTGCCCTGCCTAGCTACTTTCTGATGTGCGTACCGAACTTGTTGCTACCACGTTTACGTTTTCACACTGATGGTATTCCTATACAACGTGCCTATACTGTGTCCGCTGATAGCCTACACTATTGCGTCCGTGCGCATACAACCACACAGCGACCGATGACATTCTAGTGTCAACACGCGAGAACTATTACAGCATCACACTCGACACCCCACTCGGCCGAAAGACTTCCAACACAGTGGAAGAAGCTACGCTGACATGGAATGCGCAGAAGACGGCCTTTGTCGTGGACTCCAAGATCACCGCAAAGGGCGTGCCGTATGGCGATGCGTTTTACAGTCGAGGTGAGTGGGTCAGGCGTCAGGGGATAGGTTGGTGTGTGGTTAGGGTGTACTTTTGCGAATGGATGAGTGAGAGTTACGTTCTCTAGTTTCTGTCGTAGGTTTGCGCTCTGAGCTTTTGCGTAGATAGGCGTGTGTACACATGTAAGTGGAATGGGTGGTATATATAAACTCCAATGCATAGACGTTGTGATACGGTTGAGGAGCGCTGCTTACGGTTATGTACTGGTATGTTCAGTTACCTATGCGCGAGAGCCTTATTAGTACTATGGCGTTGTTCCTGTACTCTTGAGTGGGGTAGTGTATGGTAAGGAAGCCTGCGTGCGTGCGTGCAGGAGGGTCACGAGTTCATGAGTTAATTGTTTGACGATATCTTGTTCCAGTTAAAGTTGTACGCCTCTGATTTAAATTCAAAGATAACACTTGGGTTCTATTGGTCTCCCAAACTAAAGTTGGGGTGGTATCTGCAGTCTGCTTCAGCAACTTAGCAAGAGTCTATTTGTTAGTGGTATAAAGTATGAGTTGTATACTGCATGTCCAGCATTACCTCTTGGATGTTCTGTGGTTTCTTTCAGCTCAGAATAGAACACGAATGGTATGGCGTAGTGAAGCCATGAACCTAATGTGCGAATCAGATGATTGTTTGGGCTTGGGCTTGCTTTGGTATCCTTATAATACCTTAATCGCCCCAATTCGACGTTTGTCCATTCAAGTCAACATAACACCTATTATTTCATTTCAGTCAAGTATGAAGTCAAAATAACACCTATCATTTCATTTCAGTCAAGTATGTGGTGAAGAGTAGTGGGGAGAAGACGTGCGACGTGACCCTTTCGACCCAGTTGGAATGGGTATCGAAACCTTATTTCTCAAAAATAACTAACATGCTGGAGACGACGGTGAAGGAGACCATGAGTGACTTTGGAGATTCATGCCACAAACACATGGTAGAGTCTATAAATGGAGGTGAGTGCGTGTCACATATGCGCGGCTGCTCCCTTAAACTCAGTATTAAATTGCTGACGGAGGCTTTCTACTCTTTTATATATCTATTCATAATGTGTGTCTATATGTCTATTCATATATGTGTGTCTATATGTCTATTCATATATGTGGCTATATCTCTATTCATATATGTGTGTCTATATGTCTATTCATATATGTGTCTATATCTCTATTCATATATGTGTGTCTATATGTCTATTATATATGTGTGTCTATATGTCTATTCATATATGTGTGTCTATATGTCTATTCATATATGTGTCTATATCTCTATTCATATATGTGTGTCTTTGTCTCTATCATATAAGTGTCTATATCTCTATTCATATATGTGTGTCTATATCTCTATTCATATATGTATATCTATATCTCTGTTCATATATGTGTGTCTATGTCTCTATTCATATATATGTGTCTATATCTCTGTTCATATATGTGTCTACATGTCTATTCATATATGTGTGTCTATGTCTATTCATATATGTGTGTCTATATCTCTGTTCATATATGTGTGTCTATATGCCTATTCATATATGTGTATCGATATCTATATGTGCGTCTATATGTCTATTTATATATGTGTGTCTATATCTCTTTTCATATATGTTTGTCTGTATCTCTATTCATATATGTGTGTCTGTATCTCTATTCATATTTCATATATATAATGTGTGCTTGTCCAGACTTTGCGAAATGTATGTAACGGATTATTCTCTTAACGATATTATGAGATTCCTCCTTCACGAGGATACGATTTATCTATCTGCAATTTGCTTATCATAGGTACGCTGTGAATCCGTTAGTGTGTGGCTGGTTTCTGTAGCTATGCGTCACTCTCATTGCCATCGCACGTGTGTAGTTGCACTTGCAAATACTCGTACGCATATATGCGGTGCCGCACGTTGCTGCAGAGGGACTACTTTGCATTCGCTGGCATAAGTGTGCAATTTG